ATTGAATAAGTTTCTTGAGGATTCGTTGCATACACCTTCTTCCGAAAATAATGTCATTAATCAGTTATATTACGAAGTTTTAAAATGGGCATGTATTCTCGATAGCATGAAGTGCAAAGATATTGTAATGGCTGAATTAACGTGGCATATANACAATCCTGCACAAAACAGGTACGTTATTGATTTAATAGCAAAATAATAGTATTAAAGACCTTACCTGATTGTAGTTATGTTGTTTTACGTTTATGTACGATTATAACATAAATTTTACATTGTTCGTATTATTATTATTATTATTAGTATTTTTGTTGTTGTTGTTGCTTTTGTTGTTGTTACAAAAAAACAACATTATCGCGTCTAGTGATTTCTTTATTTCTTTCTCTTTCTCTTCTTTGAGTAAAGGTATATATATTGTTTTATTGCAGACTTTCGCCAAGTTGGCAAAGATGGATATTTTATGTTGTATATGATAATGTTTTGCCATCTTATGAAGCTACTGTAAATTTAAAACTAAGTGATAGAGTGTCTTTTCTTTTTAATATTCTTGCAAAGCATTCAAAAACTGTTGCATCGCTGACGTCTATACTAAATGTAATATATTACATAGAAAGGTAAACCACTTTTTCTTATGTATAGATTTTTGCATATTTATACACAATGTATGTACGTTCTATATTGACTGCATATGAAATCCATTTGCCGCATATACGATGTTGTATTATAATATATACTTAATACGTAAACAAATAAATTTTACATATTAATTTTCATTGTTTCTTGTTATAGCGACAATAACATACATGCAATAATGAACTGTATTATTAACAACATATATTCAGACGAAGGCCTGTCGATGGTACGTATAGGAAGTACCATATATAGTCATTTGCTTTATCAATATATAAGATTTACTTTATCTAGTTTTATATATATAAAAACCAACACATTTCGGTTTTTATACATATCATGTATTTATATACGTAAGTGTGGTAGAGGTATATTGTAGTTATATAATATATCTTAAAATGGTTTTGATATAATAACGTTAATATGTAATATTATGTGTTTTTACACAATGCGCACGCACATTACATTCAATGCTAACAGCACAAAATATTTTCAGGTTACCGATGGAAAGTTCTTACAAATGCTGAGAGACAGACATCGTGCGGTAAATGTTTTTATAGACTATTTGAAGTAATCTATAAGTAGTGTTTCTTGTAGTTTTACGATTTTTTTGAGTTTCTAAATGTAAACTATTTTATATTTCCAAATTGATATTTTGTTTGTTCTTATAAACATATATTTTTTTTATCTAATCTCTGCAAACATATACAAAATTATTATATAAGTTATTGTAATTTGTTTCAGCCATCTTATGTTATTTACGCCGTGAAACAAAAAGTTGATGATCGTCGTGCTTTACTAGTTAAATTAAAAAATAACTTCTTTCCAAACCGTAAAATGCATTTATTTACAGAGATTTAATGTTAGACTTGTTACTCGTTTTATTTATCTTAAAGGAACAAATGCTACCAATTACTTGTTTTTCTCAATACTTATGTGACTTGTGTGTAATAAGTAAAGTTTTCTTTTATGACAACAAAAAATATTTATTACTTATATTTAAAATCGGTAATACAGTTTGCCGATTTTAATATAGTTACTAATTCGCGCCAGTTGTCCACAAAAGAAAATCAGATCAGTATTAAAAATAAATAGTTTTTAATAGTATATTTGATTAAAGTATTGTTGTAAAGTTAAGTATTCAATAAGCATCTTGCACAAAACATAAATATATATTAAGTACATAGTAAAACAATACAACATATATACATAACATTATAGAAATAAAAAAAAAGTTAGATATTATTTAATGTTAAGTTTAACAAGATTTATTGATTAAGACTATTACTAATACTTATAAAACAATAACAGTTAGGGTAGTTTTACTCTATTATGTTTTAACTATAAGATAAAATTTGTTATATAATTTTTATTTACAATAAAAAGACCATTTGCATTTTATTTCTCTGGTTACTTTTTAATGTTTCTTAAAGTTTAAACAATGTGCAATATTTTCTACTAAGTTTATATGTGAACATATTTATATAATATATATATATCCTTTTTTGTGCTCTACTACAAATACACTAAGAATACATGTGTTACCACAAACGGAACTATATTGCTTGCTACTTTTATCGTCTCTTTTTGTAAAGTACAAAGTTACAGTAATTTCATTTCTATAATAATATTTGGTGTTACAAACCTTTTGTATGACAACTCGAAATGGACAAATAATGTCATTTGGCGTAATTTTTATCTATTGGTTTATTTATTTTGATTCATAAACATTTTTATAATACTACAAAAAACTTTAAAACTTACATATATCTTTCTTAATGAACCTAGTGAAACATCATGTAACATGCAGTACACTAGATGCGCGCGTACTCTCGCACTTTAAAATAATAGATATTTACTTACAACTACAATACGTTAAAACTTTATCGACAGACGCGCTATCAGAATTATTGCGTCATTCTATCTTTGTATTATATCTAATATGCACTAAACATAGAGCGAGATGTAATAGCGCAAATATAGCGCTCTTTTTTACCGCAGCTAACTCTACAGATTTACATCAAAATATCAATCAAAAGCGAAAGTGATAAGAAACCCTGATTCCAGATCACTATATTCGTTTATTTGATTTGTCTTTGTCTCTGTGGCAATCTTTACTGACAAGTGGAGAGTACACCTTTAGTGTCGCCGATTTTAATTAAATTTTGCGAGTACATAGTATCGATGAAGGAGTGTCGAATGCTATCCGGAGACGACGCACTACTCAAGCGTTTAAGAGAAATCGCGGTTTAAAGTTTTACACGTACTACAAGTACCGTTGGAATAGCACAATTTTCGAAGTGGCGGTGTAGCGCAGCGGCAAGGCGTCGCGTTACGAGTCTAGAGGATAGAGTGTTCGCGTCGTGGTGGTTTTGTGATTTTTTTTTTTTATTTACGTAAATATATGTCTTTAGTTATTTATTATTTATTTTAATTATTTATATTAAGTTTTAAAAAATATTTAAAATAAGCATACAAGTATTTTGAACAACTTTTCTTTATGTGTGTGAAAATATAAATTACATAGAATAATAATTACATATAAGTATTAAACAATAATTTATAATAATGATTATTCGTTTTCTGTATATTTACATTGTTTAAGATGGTAATTGTCATAAAAACAAGTAAAGCATAATACTGACTTGCACCAAGCACACTGTATGAAACATACGTTGCCGCAAAAACATTTGTGTGTCAATAATGACACAGGAAAACATATCTCGTTCACACATTTAAAAACATCGTCCGGTCGCTGGTCAGTTTCGAAGCAAACCATGCGTATTTTAGCATAGCGTGGAATGCTGGTGCACTTAATTGGTGTAATATCAAGGAATGAATTTTTATTTCATCTTCACGAGAAGATATTTCCCTCTGCTCTTGCAGCAACGTAGGAGCATTCTGCATGCGCTTAATCAAGATTTTCACCTGTCGGTAAAAATATACGTCGCATGGCTGGCACAGTGATGTGCATTTTGGAGGTATAATTTTAATTGTACATGAGGCTTCTCTTTTTTCATCTTCAAAGATTTCATCAAATAAAACTGGATTTGTTTGGCCTGGCCAAGAATCAATAATTAGTAAAAACTTGTTACTTGTAACATACGGTAATATAACTGTCTTTAAAAATTGTTTGTACATTTCGGTAATAAATTTTCCTGATTTTGAATACGTTACAATGACATTTTTGTACTCGTTAGTCAACAAATCAACTTTCTTCTGTACTTGAGGACCAAACATTCCCGAGGACTCTTGCATGCACAGAAAGACAAAAGAAAGGAGTTTTCCTGATGCAATCATACTATACTGTGCAGTATAAGAGTGAGTTAGTTTGTTCAAATGTTTTTTTTTTACAAGAACTGTTTTTTCGCCTTGATGTTCTAGAGTTCTATTATACGTGGCGTTATACTGACAGCCGATCTGATCGGTGTTGATGACAAAATCTTTATTAAATTTTGCGATTAACGCTTTAGTTTTGCATTTGAAATTTTTCAGCTGCTTGTACTAGTTCATCCATTGTACTGCATTCTTTTTCACTTATATATTTTGTGATCTTTCTTTGTCTTATTCTATGCTTCTTTTTAAATTTTGTCAACCATTCTTTACTAGCATTGAAAGTAAAAGTCTCCGAATATAAAAAGAAACGCTGCTGCCATTGCCCATTGTTGTAATGTCCGGCTTGTCACCTATTAAAGTTAAAAGTTAATATATTGCACATATTTTCGAACTTTATTTATTTTTATTCATATTTTCCGTTTTGATAAAATACTCTTACCTGCTCACAAGAAGCTCTAGCTTCCTTAAGAGGATGCTGAACCGTCCTGTTTTATCATAAAAATAGTAAAATGTCTGAATAATGACTTTTGTCAAATGTACTGCACAAATGAGAAAACGGTTCTCCACAATAAAAGAAAACAGTGTAACGAGTCGGGCGAGACAATAAATGTTTAGAAAACGGAAAAATTTTTTTTTAAGAAAATTGACTACCTTACATTATCAAGTATGTGTACAAATTTAACTGTTTATATGTCACAAAACACACTTTGGCCCGCTAGATAGAACCTGTAAGAATATTACAAAAGTATTAAAAACCACTTTGAACGCTTGCAGGAAGAGAAAGTATTGAACCTGTAAATTGTAGACACAAAGGTTATTTTTCCTGTCAAAACCATAGACGTATAATATATAGACTGCGCGTTTGGCTGAAAAGATGTCTTCAACGTTGAGAGAGACAACATACTTTGAATAGTAACTCTTTCTCTGTCTATCATTTTCCCCACTACTTCGCTAGACAAAGATGAGGCTACTATTCAACACCAGTTGTCTCTCTCTCCATGTTGAAGACATTTTCTTAACATGGCAAAGGTAGGGAACGCGCAGTCTACATATTATACGTCTATGGTCAAAACACTGCACGAAGCACTACGTAGTTCCCAAACTTCGCACCAGAAGAGAAAGACATATGTCTATCCTTGTCTCTCTCACGTTATCTATCCTTGTTTTTGTTTGATTCGATCCCGAGAGATGGCGCCACCTACCCGATAGCGTAGCGATTGAGTAGGCGATTGAGCGGACTTTTGCCACAGCCGCACAGTGGTCCAAAATTTCAAAAACGTGGTCAAAATATGAAATTGTACTTCAATTTAGACAAAAGTTGGTATCCCGAAGTTTTCGAGGTCGCTGATTATGAATCTGAAGTCAAAAGTTTAAAAAACAAAATGGCAGATCCCATAAACATAATCAAAATATGAAATCGTACTTTAATTTAGACAAAAGTTGGTATCCCGAAGTTTTCGAGGTCGCTGAATCTGAAATTAAAATTTTTAATAACAAAATGGCGGATAAAAATTTATTTTCTTGTAAATCGAATTTCTTTATCACAAGATCCTAAAAGTAAATAAACAATAATCAAATAACTTATTTTAATCTGAATAATATGCTCAAATGATTTTAAT